GTGTCCTCAGCAGGCAGACCTGGGATGCTGTCAGGGAGGAGCTGGCGGAGAGGACCTCAGGCAGGGCAGCTGCCACGTCTGCCAGTGCCTCCTGGGGCAGGTGTCCTGTTGTTCAGCAGTTAATTATTGAACCCTATTGGTGTCGGATATATTTTCTACTGCTCCTAGAACAAATTACCACAAATTTAGCAGCTTAAAACAATACACATTTATCATCTCACAGTTTCTGGGTCAGATGTCCAGTACGATGTGACGGGCCCTGCCCCCTTCATCTTCAAAGCCAGAAATAGCACAGGGAGGCCTTCTCCTCTTCCGAAGCTCTGACTTCCCCTCCAGCCGCATCCCTTGGACTAGCTGGAGGAAATTTCCTGCCTTTAAGGGCTCAAGTGTAACATTGGATCCTCCCGGATAGTCCATGATAATCTCCCTAATTACATCCCGTAACCCTAATTACATCTTCGAAGTGCTTTTTCCATGTATCATAACATATTTCCAGATCGCAGGGATTTGAGCGTGGGCGCGTTTGGAGGCTCTCTACCTGCCGCCGAGGCGCAGGGTCAGGAGGTTGGCAGACAGCAGCCGCCAAAAAGAGACAGTCTCCACCCTCCTGAACTTACCCCCTAGAAAGGAAGATAAAATCACAGAGAAATACTGTGATAGCCTTGCAGGGCAGGACAGGGCAGGTGCCGGGCATATTACAGGACCTGACAGAGCCAGGAGCTCTGAGAGTTTTTCCCAAGGAGCTGAGCAGGTGAGGGAAATTGTAGGCAAACTGAATCGCAAGACCAATGCCCAAGCCAGGAGCCAGAGAACGAGAGGTGGTGTGAGCCGTGGGACGGGGACGCGGAGGCTGGGGTCGGGGAGGTGGCCAGGGCATTGTGACCATACTACCTCCAATATCATAGAAAGCTATCACCAGCATTTAGGCCACTAGATCCTCACAATACCCTTTTGTAAGGTGGGCACTACTGGCATCCCCAAATTACAGGCAGAGAAATTGAGGCTCAGAGAGGTGAGCCAAGTAGCTGAGCTAGTAAGAGAGGGGACCGGGAATCATGTTGCCTCCTTAGTAAGTCAGTGCTCGCTGCTACCAGAAACAAGTCAGATGGCAAATGGCTCTGAGGCTGTTCTGATCAGAAGACGCTCCTCTATTCTCCAGCAACAACCTGAAAATGGTTGTGGCTCCCCTTTAGGGGCATCGCAGTTGTCTGCTGGCCAGCCGCCACCTTGTCACCCGCTCCATCTCAGAGAGCAACAGATTCAAGAGGCTGGCTCTTGAATCTTCTACCTGGAGTCACTCATGTCGCTATCGTCCACATTTCACAGGGCAAGGCAAATCCTATGGCCACATCTGCTGCTGGGGTCAGGGGAAATGGGCTCCTCCCCGAAGAGCCCGGGCCAGGCCAAAGGCAATGCCAGCTAGCTAGGCGGTGGTGAGGTAGACTGAGAGAAGTGAGGATGAAGGCCGGCAGGGAGGGAGGCACGTTTCATTGGCAGGCAATTAAGTGTGGGAGGGAAGGTAATGCACTTGGATTGGGACATACAGAGCAGGAAGTCTGAGCCAGCTGCTGGCGCTCTGAAGAACACCCTGGACTGCAGCTCTGGCGCAGGGTGCATCGGTCAGTGCATCGGTGACTATCACCATGGCCAGTTTGTACTGTGCCACCTAAAACTGTTGCATCTGCCAGAGAACAAGGACAGAACCTTCCTGGAAAGTTCTGAGGATTTGGCCAAATGCAACATGCCCCCTGTAGCACCTGAAAGAGATCCATTCCCCAGCACAGCACCCTGACCGGGGTAGGGCTCCTTGAGTGGGAGCGGGGTGGCCACTTAACCACAGGTCCTTCTGCCCAATGATGACAAGTCCTGCAGGCTCATCCCGGGCTCTCAGTATAGCCAGGGCCCAGCTCAGTTGCTGCCCTGTCCTTGTCCTGCTGTGTCACCTCTGTCTTCATTCACCCACTCATTCATTCAGCCAGTATTTAGTCTTTTTCTTTTTCTGCATTTTTAAACATTTCACCCTTATTTGAATACTTTCTGAGTAGCGTCTAGGATACATTTAACTTTATCCATTGTAGATACACATCGTGTGAACTCAATGACTGTTCAGCTAGTGTTTAGTCTTGCCTGCTTGGTGCCTACTAGATGCCCGCTGAGCTGACAGTGGAAGAGACAAAGAATTCACCAGGAGCTCTCTGGGGGGCACCATAGAGGTACCGACTGGGGTGGGGCTTTCCTGTGGAGCTGAGGTTCCCAGACATGCAAAGAAGTTGCCCAGGGGACCTGAAGTTTGGGGATGAGCCTGAGGCTGACTGCCTTTGGCCCATGGAGCTCTGCCTGGGCCTCACCTCCTACTCCCTGTGCTTCCCCTTGGAGCCTCCCAGCACCCTCACCCACCCTGGAGCTGGGGGCGGGGGGTAATGCAGGGAAGGCACCTGGACGGCGGCTCTGTTGCGGCAGCCTGCTCCCACCCGCAGCAATGTCTACCTCTGTCTCTCTCCCTCTCTCACATGCACACAGGACTATAGCCCTTGGGGGCTTATGGCCTTGGAGACTCAGGACACACAAGGGCTCAGTGCACGTGATGGAATGAGGTGGGACTTCATCTACTTGGCTTGCTCTGAGTCTCTGGAGAACAGAGGGCCATCTGTCCGTTAACTGCTGTATTCCCAGCTCCCAGCGTAACTGGGAATGAATATGCTCTATTTACATAAAGCTACCCACATTAAATGGTGAAAATGATTAAATATCTAGATATTTGGAGATAACAAGATACTGCATTATTAAAAAACATTGTTCAAAATGTCATTGTTGCATCAACAGCTATGTTTGTTGTTTCCTTATTGTTAGTTCCTTGTGGGTAACTTTTGCTATTGCTTCTGTAATTATAGGAGTAATGGGTTTCACGGCATTCTGGAATCAATCTTGATTCCAAACCCATGATTAATCTTGCCATCTGTATAGGGTTTTCTTTCCATTTTTCTGCACAGATTTCCTATGCATTTGTTTGCAGTTCTAAGTCCTCATAAACCAAAAATCAGTTGAGGCATTGTATATGCTAGGCTCCTCTGTGTTACAAAGTGCCATTTCAACAGTAATAGGGGTGTGTGTTTTATCTGAAGCTAAAGCATACATCTTCAGGATGTTTTTTTTAAAAAGATTATGTTTCTTATTATGGTATTTGGGACTGCTCCTGGTCTAATTTTTATTACAGTATTCTTAACTTTTTTTTTGAAGGTTTTTTTGACCATCCACTAGCAAATCAAATACTAATTATAGAATTCCTGACTGCTCCAACCCCATCTGGTAAAAATGCACCATTAACAAGAGTCAGTAAACTAAAAACAGAGGCATGTTTCCTTAGCTTGGAAATACCATTTTTAAATGTTATTTAGTCCTGGTTGACATGGCTCAGTGGATTGAGTACTGGCCTGCAAACCAAAGGGTCACCGGTTTGATTCCCAGTCAGGGTACATGCCTGGGTTGTGGGCCAGGTCCCCATTAGGTGGTGCATGAGAAGCAACCACACACTGATGTTTCTTTCCCTCTCTTTCTCCCTCTCTAAAAATAAAAAAAAAAAAATCTTTTAAAAAATAAATAAAATGTTATTTAAAATATCCTGAGAAAAATTAATTAGTCTTACATTTAAATATCTTTACTAAATTAGAAAGGGTCATCTTTATTATGGTCTATACAATAAAGAATAGAGTATAAAAAATCTTGAAAGGAAATTGTAATTAGGCTGAATAATGAATTTAATTAGAGAAATGAATTTAAAGATCACAAGCAAGTTAATACAGAGTTGGAGTTTGGTACTTTTTCATTCTGTTAAAAACACAAGGACTTTCTTCTTGCTTTCCAGATATAAAGAAACTTTTTTTTTCTTAAAGCAGTTTGGTAAATTATACTTTCATAAGCAATGTTGAGGCATTTATATTTTTCTCCCTGCCTAATCCTTCCAGATTTTGGAAAACCTTAATATAATTATTTTTATGGTAATATGTTTATGTGCATGAATCCAATAAAAATCTGATTTCTTTATAATAGGACACATAAAGTCAGTTTTCAATTGTGGTTTTATTAACCAGGACTTTGAGTGGAATGTCATGTCTTAGGAGACAGGCCTGGACTCTCGATGTTACCAGAAAACTTTAGGAATGAAGGTGGGCTCTGAGGGCAATAAAAGCCCCTTGGAGAAATGGCCTGGTACCTTGCTTATTCATATAGTTCATGGCAGTCTTTCCAGGTAAGGAGCAAAGATTGCTTTTCTAGGAGATGGCAAAGGAAGAACCTCGAGACGTTTCTGGGGACCTTGAGCACGTGATCTGTAGGCGTTATAGGCAAAGCCTAAAGGGCCCTGGCTGCTGTGGCTCAGAGGATTGAGCATCAGCCTGCTAACCAAAAGGTCACCGATTTGATTCCCAGTCAGGGCACGCACCTGGGTTGCTGGGGAGGTCCTCAGTTGGGGGCGTGAGAGAGCCAAGAGATCGAAGTTTCTCTCGCTCTTTCTCCCTCCATTTCCCTCTCTTTAAAAATAAATAAAATCTTAAAAACAAAAACAAACACACAAAACAACCCTTTGCCTCCACCGCGATGTTAAGATGGGCTGTGGGACCAGAGTCCCCCATCTCAGGCGGCCAGCACTTGAATGAACCTCTCCTTTTCTACCAGCACCTCCTGTCTCAAGAGTTTGGCTTTCAGGGCGGGCAGCCCACCCAGGGATCGGTTAAACTGGCACACATACGTCACTGAGTAACCATTAGTGACGAAATGAAAGGACTGACAAACGAGGGACAGGCAGATTTCTGGCCGCCAAGTAGAGAAAGGCTTTGAGGAGGCATGGGAAGCCAGGGACCTCAGCTGGAGGCCAGGCTGGGCGACCCTACCGGAGTCCCGCCTGCGCCCCGGAGCAGCGGTGACGTCACCAGTCACTGGGGCGGGGCCTCCGCCGGTGGTGGCGTCACGGGAGGCGGAGCCGCGGCCGCACTTACGCCGGACTGGGCGGCAGTCACGTAGCTCAGGTTTCCTAGCTGCAGTTGCGCGCGCGTACTGGTTCCTGTGTCCTAGTCCTCGCCGCCGTCCGTCCGCTATCATGCCGATGTTCGTGGTGAACACCAACGTGCCCAGCGCCTCGGTGCCGGAGGGGCTCCTCTCCGAGCTCACCCAGCAGTTGGCTCAGGCCACGGGCAAACCGGCCCAGGTTTGTCGGGAGAGAACTGGAAGAGGGGGTGCCTGCCAGCCGAGCTAGGCCCGGGCTGGCGCGGTGGGAGGCGACTCTGGACGGGGAAGGGACGGGGGGGTACCCGGGGCCAGCAGAGTCGCTCGGGTCCTCTGACTGCGCCCTCTCCCTCAGTATATCGCGGTGCACGTGGTTCCGGACCAGCTCATGGCTTTCGGTGGCTCAAGCGAGCCGTGCGCGCTCTGCAGCCTACACAGCATCGGCAAGATCAGCGGCGCGCAGAACCGCTCCTACAGCAAGCAGCTCTGCGCCCTGCTGGCCGAGCGCCTGCGGGTCAGCCCGGACCGGTGAGGGGGCGGGGGTCCCTGGGAGTGGGGGTGGGAGTAGGTGGGGACGCCGGGCGCGCAGCTTAGGGTCCACGACCATGCAGCTTGCTCAGCCCGACTTCCATGTCCTACAGGATCTATATCAACTACTTTGATATGAACGCGGCCAACGTGGGTTGGAATGGCTCCACCTTCGCCTGAGGGCCACGCCGCCCCGATGGAGCGGGACCAGACCCCAGACCCCGCTGCCCGCAATGTTTGCCTGCCTGGGTCCCGGCATCCCCGCCCCCGCCCCCCCCTCGCCATTTCCCAGTCGGGAGAAATAAATGGTTTGGATACCACAGCTGCCTCGGGCTTCCTTGGCTTGTGGTGCAATGGGTTCAGGGTCGGGCAGTGACTGGGGAACCAAGGCTCAGGGAGGTACCCCGTCAGAATTTGCTGCCGGTGCCCTTTGACCAGCCTTGCCCTCTGTACCCCTAGAGGAGGGTCCAGTCTTGGTTGGCATCCTGCTTGGGGCCGCAGACCCAGAAACCCAGCTTGAATGAGAGCCTTCCAGGGCTGCTTTATGACTCCGGTGGAGTCCATTCCCACTCAAGGTGCAGGGCGATCACATGGTCCAGGGCTGGCCGGGAAGAGAAGGGAGCGATTGGAGTCCACATCTGATGGGCCTGGGTTGGAGATCAGCTGGTCTCCGACCTTTCTCAGCCCCACTTTCCTCCACCTTCAGATGTGCAAAAGGGTGTCCTTGGGAGAGAAACCTTTCCCCTCCAGTCCATGTCACTCTGCTAGGCTGGTGCCCCAGTTTTCTAACCTGGACAGCCTCGCTGTTCTGGAACTTCGGAAATCAGTATCAAGGCACAATGTGACGGGGCCAGGATCACCCCTTTGCAGGGGTGGTGATAGGATGCTCAGCGGGCAGTTGCAGTGAATGCACCTGGGCCACAGGGTCCTTGGCTGCCCACCCTCCCAGCCGGGGAGTGCTGCTTACCCGGGCCAGTTGCCTTGGGCCAGAATGCTTCACCCCCCCGCAGCATGAGAGCTTCCATGCACCCTGGGAGGACTGCCAGTGGCCCGGCCCAGCCCACACCCACTGCCCTTGCTCATGTGTCAACTTGTGGCATCACTGAACATCCAACAGTTGTGCGCAGAAAGCTCGCCCCGCTCGGCCTCAGTTAACTCAGCGGGGGCAGCGTGGATTTACCTCGAGAAAAGCACTGAGAAGGTGGAATCAGCTTGGAGTCAAGAAGGGTGTGGCTCACCTTCAGGGGGTGCCTCTCTTACACAAAGGTCTGTGAGGGGCTGTCTCCAGCTCACCTCAGACTCATTCTGTCCTCCATGGAAGGGCTGTGGAGCCTCACCTCTGTCTCTCCTTGTCAGGGTAGGGAGACTGCCCCCAGCTGCAGCCAAAGGTCCCGCTTGGCTTGGTTTGTGGACTGGGGCCTCCCTCATGGGTCAAAGTATCTGACGTATAATAGGCCCCCACCTATGCCTGAGTCCCGGCCTTTGTCACATCACCTCAGCTGTTGTGCGCCTCCTGCCCCCCAGTCCCTAACACCGGACTTCTTTCCTCTGCTTCAGGCCCCGTCCTGCCTGGCCCTCAGCCTGCACCATATGTGGTGGTCACGAGGGAGCAGGTGCGTAGGCCTCTTCTGCGTTTAGTCCAACTCCCTCATTTCACAGATGAGAACACTGGCCCTGGGTCCCTGGGAGTGGCACTGCCAGGTGGGCCACCTTCCCGGGGCTTGGCTACACATTCACCCTCACTATTGCCAGCAAGGGTTTTTGCCTGAGTCCACACATGAGCAATGAGTGTCTCTGCAGCTGAAGTTGGGGTGGTCGAGGGCCAAGGAGACAGGGCAGGTTGGGCGCCTGCTGTGTTGAAGGCTGGGGGGCCTCACAGGAGCCAGGGGGGTGAAGCGTAGTCCGAACCCAGAAGCATCAGCCTCTGGCTGACCTGGGCATCTGCAAGGCAGTGGCGCCTTGGAAAGGATAAAGGGACCCACAGTCTTGGCCCTGCCCAGCGCGCTCCCAAGCTCCCTGGAGCTAATAGCTGGCGCTGCACCTCCCCCCAGCCACCCCCTGGCCAGCCACATTTCTTCCAAAGCGTAGGCTCCACTGTCCACCTACAGCCTCTTCCTCAAACAGCTGCCCCAGGGCCCACAGGGGTGTGGTCAACATTCAGAAGGGCAGCAGAAGCTAATTTCCAAACACTTAAAAGTGACGTGTAGGGCAGATCACGGTAGCGGCGCAGACTGCCACCTGCTATCCCATCTCCGTTGTCCCGGGGAACCATGTCATCAGCTGATGACTACAGGATAACACAACAGTCCTCACAGCCACTGTTGTGAGGCCCTGGCAACCTCACAGCTCACCTTGTGGGTGCTGTTCCTTCCTCACGGACTGCCTGTTTCCCTGTCTGCCCACTCAGTCCCATGCTGTGCCCTCCTAGGGAGCTTTCCCGAGGCTCCCCAATACATGATAAAACCACAGTTCCACCTCCCCCCGAGCTTTGGCGTTGGTCCTGTGAGCTGGGGCTTCTCCTGTGTCCCCCAGTGTCCTGTGGGCAGTGAGAGGAGTCCGTACCCAGCTCTGTGATCTCTGGGCCGCAGCCCAGCAGTGCGGCTTCCCTGTGCCTCCCACCTCGCCTGGCATGCCTTCATCGCAGCGACCCCTCTGCCCCCGGCCCCAGCCTCAGCCGAGACCCCTACCTCAGGGCCCACCTCCATTCAGCTCCCCTCAGCCTTCGGCCTGCTTCTTGAGCAATGGGAGTCTGCCCGCTCTGCTCCCCCTCTGGGCCTCAGTTTCCCTCATCTGTGAAATGAAGGGGTTCACCAGATGCCCTTCCTACATAGTGCTTCAACTGTGTAACAGGCTATCTCACAGTCTTAGGGGCATGGAGGGCGGGGAAGGGTCAGGTAAGTGGCCCGTGCCCGTACTCAGGTCTTGATGTATTATGAAACCCTTTCCTGGGACTGTGAGCAAGTGTGGGCAGGTATCTTGGAGGCTGGCTCCACTCATAGTTGGGCAATGCTGGAGGTGGACAAGGGAGGAGGGCCCAGAGCAGGGCACAGCTCTGGTGAGAGTGCAGCTGAAACCCTCACAGTGGGCCCCGGTTCGGGCCTTGGGGCTTGCTCCCCTGCTCCCCTAAAGCAGTAGGTACAGTGCAGGGCTGCCGCCAGGAGCTTAGGAAGTCTCTGGTGTTTCTGGGCTGCTGACGTCTTCCTTGAATTTGTGTCACCAGGCAAGTAAGTGTTGGCCCCCCCCAAACTGTGTTTCTGTAAAGTCCTCTCCTGCCAGCCCACCCTTCCTTCCCAGCTGAGCAGTGGCACAGCCAGATCCCAGCCCTCCGGATCTCTGGGAGAATTCAATAGAACCGGGGGTGGGTGGGTGGGTGTGTGTGTGTGTGTGTGTGTGTGTGTGTGTGTGTGTGTGTGTGTGAACATAATGCGAACCCACCAGCCACTTGCCCAGATTTCCCCTCCTGGTTAATTGGGCACACCATCTCGTTTCTGTGTTTGAAACCCACATAAAAGACAAAAATTGCCAGTTTTCAGAAATTGGCTTTGTCCCCCCACTCCCAGAGCCTCAGCCCCAATCCGGGGACGATAGGGTCTGGACTCCATATTCTCATGGGTCTAACCCTCAAAATATCGGGATAGGGCTCTGAATCCAAAAATTCCAAATGAGAAGTCTCATTCCCTGTGTCCCTGTGACCATGTGTCTGAAACCTGATTTCTTGTGCACCTAATTTTATTTTCATTTTAGGAGGTTATTTACATGGCTCAGTTCAAAGCATTCTAAGGATCCCTTCCTGTTACCTCCCTCCACAGGATAACCCTCTTAGATCCTTCTAGAGGAATTTTATGCATATACAAGCAAATGTGTATAACTGTGCCCCCTGCCCCGAGCTTCCCACAATGGTATCATATTCTATACAAGTTTGGCCTTTTACTTCTTTTGTTTGTTCGTGTAACTTAAAAGTCTATCTTGCCCTGGGCAGTGTGTCTTAGTTGGTTGGAGGGTCATCCTGTAACCGAAAGGTTGTGCGTTCAGTCCCCAGTCCCGGCACTTATGATCCCCGGTCCAGGCGCACAGAGGAGGCAACCAATTGATGTGTCTCTCACATCAGTGTCTCTCTCCCTTCCTCTTTCTCTAAAAGCAATGAAAAAAATGTCCTCAGGTGAGGAATATATATATATAATCTCAGTACCTGAGGAGTCTCTATTATTCCCTTGCTAGGCCTGGAACAGACCATTATTCCATTCAACCAGCCCCTACCATGAACCTCCAGCACTTAGCTATACAGAATTCTGCACATGAGGAAGTGTACCTGTAGGATAGGTTCCTAGAAGTAGAACTGCTTGGTCAAAGGCAATGATGCAGTTTTAATACGGCCAGATGTCCCTCTTAGTTGCCGGGGGGAATTGGAGGCCCTCCCAACCCAAGTTTTGACTTTGGCTGTCTGATGGGGAAAATGCTTCTCAAGACAAAATGTTTAAATTTACATTTCTCTTTTCATTTGGTGAACAGCCATTCCTTTTCCCTGTGTTGGGAACTAAGTCAAATCCTCAAGCCCATTTTCCCAATGGAATTGTTTTAAAGCGCTTTATATATTAGAGAATTAACCCTATGTCGCGAGTCGCAAACATTTTTCCCAGTTTGCCCTCTGGTGTTTGACTCGTGGGCAGGCTCTGGAGACACACTCATCAAACTCTGCTTCCAGATGTGCCCTCTTTGGGCTTTCCCACTCCACGACTGTTTCCCATGGTTTCTTCCAGGACTTCACCTGATTTTCTTTTGATATTTATGTTTTTGCCCTGTCTGGAATTCCTCATGTCAGGTCTGAGCTGTGGCTCCATTTTCTTTTTAATTTTAGATGCCACCCAACTGTCCCTTCCCCGTCTTAAATCATCCATTTTACCCCACAGATGAAATGACGCTTTTGTTTCAGATGAGATCTCCTTCTGTACTTGGGTCTCCTTCTGAGCTCACGATTCTTTTCCCCCCGTGATGGGTTCTCTGGATTTCATTTGTAACAGACAAGCTTGTTTGCAGGCTGCCCCAGCACTGGGGCAGGCAGGGCTCCTCCCCCACACCCCCTTTGGGGGCCTTCCCTCGCAGGCCTTGTCCTGGCCCCATCCCAGGCCTCCCCTCCTCCGGATGCTCCCTACCTGCCCTCAGTTCCCCCGACTGCCTGCTTCCCCACCTGCCGAATGTCAACCCCTCTGGTCTTGCTCTCCTGAAGGGACTTGCCCATGGGGTCCACCAGGCGGTCGCAA